AAAAAAAAAAAAAAAAAAAACCCACACTGTAACTTTTGCAGAGGGACCGAGTTGAACTTTGAGTTGAGCCCTTATCTGTTTCCACAGCCTGAAGAGGACCACAGATGTGATGTTTGGTGGGAAACAAGTGGTGGTGTGTGGCTATGGTGAGGTAAATAGCTGAGCCTCAGTGTCTCTGTCCCTTCATAGACTTACTAGAAATATTGGGTGAGAGAGAAAAAATATTGGGTGCTATGAGTCACTGGTGCAGGGGTCACAGTATGTTTTTAGATAACATACCTCACAATAGTAGCAAAAGTCTTATCCAGACTCAAGAATAGAATCGTACAAAATGAATTGTTTTCCATTTTCACCAGTTTATCTTGTGAAATGAAATTTCAGCATCATTTTCCTCTTACTTAGAACAGTAACCTTCTTTGAGATGTAATTCAAGTAAATATATAGCATTTTAGCCCCCACATGACATGCAGTAAGAGGAAGTGGCATGTGGTTGAATATCTCTAAACCAGAATTAAGATACATATTTTACTATCTTCAGCTGTGACCCACAGAAGTTCTTGAGTTACTAGGCTGTTCTTGAATAGATATAAGTGAGATTACCAGTTTTTTCTGGAATAAGAAATTAGAGGTTACAGCTGCTCTTACTTTGGTCTTGTTTCCCTAATGGTAGCAGTTACCCAAAGCCCCACCCCTGCTATGACACATGTGCTAAATCACCTCTCTAGCTGAGACCCAGAATGTGATCTGGTTCTGTTTATGCTCTGCTTTGGGCAGGAGCCTCCCTGAGAGTGCTCACTAGATGACTGGTGATATTCTTAATGCTAATTCCTATCTCCAAAGAGCCTGACTCCCCCAGCACACATGCCTTACACCAACCTGGTGACCTGACTTTTCTTATGATCCACAGGTAGGGAAGGGCTGCTGTGCTGCTCTTAAGGCCCTTGGAGCAATTGTCTACATCACAGAAATCGATCCCATCTGTGCTCTGCAGGCCTGGTAAGAATAATGATTAACTCCAGGTACTTTATAGTTCATGATTGATTATATTAATCACTTTTTGTAAAAATTGCTCAGGGAAAGAGAAGACTTTTATTGTTCTATCCCCTTCACTCTAGTCCTAGGTTCTCTTAGCCTCTCAGCATTTTCTCTTCGTGGGTTGAGTCTTGGGGCTCTGAAGAGGCTAATGTGTGTATATATAGCTGCACAAGCTTAACACGTAGCGTCCCTGGGAGGTAGCTCTGGCTCTGACTTCAGAGAAGGTTTTTTTTTTTTTTGTCTCACTTTGCAGCCAGCATCCCTCCCACTGCCTCCCTGCTTTGCTCATGGTGTACCTTCCTTTTCTTCCAGCATGGATGGGTTCAGAGTGGTGAAACTAAATGAAGTCATCCGGCAAGTTGATGTTGTAATAACTTGCACAGGTACGTGTCATGCTTTGGTGCCAAGTTCAAGGCTAACTCCCAAAATTGACCTGACTTTCAGACACAGTAAGTGAGACCTGTGCTTAGTATAAAGCCTAAGATAGTAGCCTATTGGAACCATAACATGTTTTCCAAAGGGAGACTCTTTCCCTGGTTACTTTTTATACTGCCATTTCCCTCCCCACCAGGAGAAGAGGTGAGTACAGGGAAGGCCCAAGGAGATAGGTGGGACACCTCAGGGTCCTCAGAGCATGGTGAGTAAGGAATGTACCTGCACCCACTAAGGGACAGAGCCACCACATGTCCAGCCAGGGTCAGCTCTGCCTGCCCTATGATGGCACCAGATCCAGCTGCGTCCCACCTTGAACCCTCTGGCTGGGGAATAGACTCCTAGTCCTCAGATTTGGCCAGTCCCCTGGGCTTTATTTCCTCAGATAGCACCTACTTCAGCCACACGTAGGCCTCAACCAGGTTGTTGATGATCACCAGCTGCTGTGCACTTTTCTCACAATGGATACAAGGTCTTTAATGCCAGCACATTTCCTCCCTTGTTCTAACTGAAAACTGTCAATACCTTTGTTGCCTAGCATCTCTTTCCTCAGCCACCCATCTTTATTTTTAGGAAATAAAAATGTAGTGACTCGGGAGCACTTGGACCGCATGAAAAACAGTTGCATCGTGTGCAACATGGGCCACTCCAACACAGAAATAGACGTGGTGAGGCCTCTGTCAGTTGTTGCTAGTTCTTTTTCCTCTGCCTTCCATTACAGCCATTGTCAGCTGTGCATTTTTCCTTTCAGACCAGCCTCCGTACTCCAGAGCTGACATGGGAGCGAGTTCGTTCTCAGGTGGACCATGTCATCTGGCCAGATGGCAAGCGTGTCGTCCTTCTGGCAGAGGTACACAGAAGACTCTGGCAGAGCAGTGCAAGGAGTTTAGTTGGATCCACAGAGGGAGGAGAGGCAGGAAAAAAATACTGGGCCTGTGCTTACCTGAATTCTATCTTTGAATAGAAGTATATTTTCAAATTGTCTCGTCCACCAAATAGAAAGAATCCAAAAACTATTTTTTTGCTAAGTAACATATTATTTCCTGACTAAAACTGATTTTCAGCCTTTCACAGTCAGGTGGATTTACAGAAAATAGGATAAAAGCCAGAGTCCCAATCTGGAAGTGTAATTTCTTCCTCTTCCAGCTGAGTATAGAGGGGTATGAAGTCCTTTCTTGCATTTACTTGCATTTCACTGGAATCGAGAGGGACCACAGTTCATCCCAGGATTCTCTTACCTTTCTAGGGTCGTCTGCTCAACTTGAGCTGCTCCACAGTTCCCACCTTTGTTCTGTCCATCACAGCTACAACACAGGTATGCAGCAGAAGGCCCACTTTTCCTTCACTGTTTATAGCACCAGGTGTGCATAGATCAGAGTTCTCAGGAGTGTGTGCCATGGTACGTGCTTACCAGCCTGCTTTTATTCGTATCACCAGTTCCTGAGACTTAGGCTTTCTCAATTGCAGACGAGTGTGTGTGTCATTTGTCTATGTGTTTTTGAATTGTCTCTTCAGTTGAATATAGTGTTCCAGCTTAATTGTATTTACTTTGTTCTTTTGTCAGCAACTAAACAAAAACACTAGCAAATCCTCTCACGATGTGTGCTGGCCTTTAATATAAGCAGAGTCCCAGGTGCTGTCATAATGACAGATCACTGAAGTATTTGTCCTGAGTTGCTGTTAAACCTTTTTATTTTTATGTCTCTAAAAAGTATTTTTGTTTTCTGGACCACTTTTCCCACTTCAGGCCTTGGCACTGATAGAACTTTATAATGCACCTGAAGGACGATACAAACAGGATGTGTACTTGCTTCCTAAGAAAATGGGTGAGTAAAAAACAGGAAACCTATATTGGTCCCTAGGATGGCTACATTGCATGAAGAGCACTGGATATAGGGTCAGAGTTCTGACTTTTCTTCTAGTGTTTACTGATTGTTTGACCTTAGGAAAGTTTAATATCCACGAGCCTCCAATTCTTTATCAGTAAAGTGAAAATAATATCATATATAAATATTTCAGGTTGTAAGAATTACAGGTAATGAGTTACAGTGCTAAGTACAGTGGTTTAAAATAGATGATCTTATTGTCACATAGCTTTATGAAGTTGAGTAAACTTCTAGTGCAGCTGAGTATAGCCTAGGGCCAAAATGAGAGAAACAGAAGCCAGTTTTGGGGCCGGGGATTTAGCTCAGTGGTCTGCTGCCTGCCTTGCAAGCAGTGAGTTCGATCTCTGGTACCCCACAAGAAAAAGCCAGTTTTCTTGTTCATCCTCTGTTTGCCTCAGTAGGAGGCAAATCACCTCCTATGCAATGTGTCATTCTAGAAGACAGTGTACTTTGTGTGACATAATGTATCTCTGTCCTTTCTGTGCCACAGTATTCACCTCCCATCTCTTCTTGTCCAACCCAAATGCCTGACTTAAAGCTAAAAAAATCTTGCTTTGCTCTTCTGCAATAGTTTGCCTCGGATTGTTTTTTTTTTTTAATTCATATTCATAGGGTGAATCTTACTCTAAATAAATGTTAATGGCATAAGGTTCTCTTGAGCTTTCTGGCATCCATTTTGATTCATAATTTAATTATAATTTAATCTAGTTAAGGAGGTTGCTACAAAAGGTAAGAGTAGAACATGACATGTTGGCTGCTGAAGTGAGGCTAAAACTTTTACCAGAGAAGTCTAGGGAGATATAAGTCTACACCATTTTGTCGCCCTGTTAAGTGGCTTTCTATATACACTTGGGTGGTACTGAGAAAAGTACCCTGCCAGAAATGTAGCTTTCAGGGCTTTTAAAATTTATAAATATCTCAGGGCTGGGGATTTGGCTCAGTGATTCTGCTGCCTGCCTTGCAAGCACAAGGGCCCAAGTTCGATCCTCAATACCAAAAAAAAAGCACAAAAAAATTTATAAATATTTCAAGTTATGGATTCTTTCAAAGTTATTGTCCTCTCCCTTGTCCTCTTCCTCAGAAAGCTTTAAATGAAGTTGGGTGAAGGGAAGGTTACCCTGAGAGGCATATTTGACACGGAGTTCACTCTCTCTATATACTTTTCTAGATGAATATGTTGCCAGCTTGCATCTGCCATCATTTGATGCCCACTTGACAGAGCTAACAGATGACCAAGCAAAATACCTGGGACTCAACAAAAATGGGCCATTCAAACCTAATTATTACAGGTAACTTGGAGAAAATCAGTGAAAAGCTCTCTTCCCCAATATTGAACCAACCAGCACACCTAGCTAGCTTTCTTTCTTCAGCTACTATGCCTGATTTTGAAAAGCATGAGAACTCTACTCCAAATGAACAGGGGCAAAGCTAGAGGTATATACCTCAATGATAAGAGAGCTTGCCTAGCATTCATGAGGCCTTGGGGTTCAGTCTCCAGTACCACACACGCATGCACAAGAATACAGAGAAATTTGCATATTGTATATTTAGTGTTAGATATAGAGAAGTGTCTTTTGAATTTGTGGAGCTTGGACTTTACCCCAGAGATTCTGATGTACTTGATCAAGGATGAGCCCCAGACTATTACTAATATAGTTGAAAACCATTGGTTTATATAATCAGAGAGCAGGCAGTGAGTAGAAATGGCATTGTCAGAGACCATGTAGAAGAGAAGAAACAAATGCCCTGTGGATTGACAACAGGGATCCCTGGGCCAGGTTGGGGGCCCTGGAGATGGTATTGTTTCTGATTTTTGGAACTCTCAAATGGAAATCATAAGTGGTAACCAGTTAATCTCTGTCTTTACAGATACTAGTGGACCATCTTACGAATGACCAGTCCATGTGAACCACATGACTCTAAAAGAAATATTTTTAAAGATAACTTTTATGTTCTTTTTATTCTTTTCCTCTTTTTTTTTTTTCTCTCTCTCTCATTTCATTCTCATTTTCTCATCTCATTATTCGAGTTCTGCAGACCACACAGGAACGTGCTTCATGGCTCTTTAGATGAAACTGGGGTTTAAGGTTCCTCACCCTAGCCACTAAAGGATTTTACTGTCCAAACCCAGAAAGGCAACTCATTCTTTACCATTTCTGGGGATCTCAGTCTTAATTTGGTACTTTATTAACAGGAGATGCTAAGGTACCTTCTATGTGAACAAAGTGCAGTGTCTAAATTGCCTTAAAGGAGCCTACTTCTTAGCTGCTAAAATCAGTGCTCTTTCACTTCTTCAGAGGAGCAGGGATGATACCTACCAAGCAGGTAGGTGAGATACAGGCGGTGCATGTTAATTTCCCTTAAATATTCCAAGCCCTATCTCCTGTGTAAAGGTGGTATGTCTGGTTCAGAGGTGTGCACTAGTGAGTGTTGCTTGTTAAGATCCAGTAGACCCACTTGGATCTATAGTACAACCCTTCCTCCACTCCCACCAGTCTTATTTTTCTAGTTTTTAACTGGATTGCATTCTATCAAGTTGAGTTTTGTACCCTAGCATTTATTTCTGTTATATTTTTTTAAAACTAAGGAAAATTTTTAGTTGTTAACACTGAGGAACTGCTTGAGCGGTTAGTTGTTACCAAGTTCTCTTTTGAACCTTTGGAGCTAAAAGTGTAGATTGAGTCTAGAGAAATGCTAGACTCAAACTCTGAATGAATCCCTGTGTTTCTAGCCCTTAGTTCATAGCATCAACGAACTGGAGCCATAAGCAAATTCTCTCAGCTCTGCCCCATGCAGCTTATGCTGAAGGCAAATTTCTTAAGCCATTACTCAGTATAAAGCACTGAGTCTAGCTAGGTTTTATCCTTTAAGAGCAAAGTTCTGATCAGCTGTGCTTCTGCAACCTAAAATATTTAGAGGGGGCTAGGTGTGGGTGGGAGGAACTATAAACCGGGCCTTGGTGAGATAAATCTAACTCCATATAATTTGCCTGGAACTGCAGGCCCTGTATAATACTATTTTTACAGAAATGGTACCACCGTAGATTGACACATGCCACCAGAAATGTTTATGAGCTAAAATCTTAAAGGACAATATGTATGTAGAGAAAGTAGTCAGTACATCTTGACTCATACTCCGAAAGAATCCCCAGAGAGGCTCTCTCAAAGATCAGAGATACAGTCACATGCCATGCATCCTGCTTACCAGCATTTCTGCATGGTCAAATGAGCTTTATGCTCATGAGCTTTAAGTATATAATTACCCAGGATTTTAAATCCTCGACTTGTTCTAGCTTGTGATCTTTCAAGATTGGATCATGCATTAGTGCTAGATTCTAGAAATTTTCGCTTCTCTCCACTGATCAAGAGAAACAGACATTAAAAACAGAAATACAAGAAAGAAAAGCTTTTTCCCTGCAGCTTTCTAGCAGGGGACAACTGTCTTGCCAAAACTTTTTTCCCCCCTCTTCTCTGTTTGTCCCCACCCATTCTCTACTCCTTGCCAGTGTGACCATGCTTTCTTCTTTGTAAATGCTAACAGTTGAAGCCTTGTTTCCTAGGGAGGTCACTTAAGCAGCCAATCAGAACACCGTATCTGTTAGGGGAGATAACCTGGCCAACCGTATGTCTGTTGGACACCTCTGCTAGAAGAAGGGGCCCACGACCTGCTGCCCTCTCATTCTGTATCTATTAATGTGTCCATAGGAATAATAGGTAAGGGCTCCATCTCTGTGAAGCCATGTAACAAGGGACACTGGAAAATAATCTGGCATCAGAGGGAGCGTGTGGAGAGCAACTTGGGAGGAAAAAGTTCATTTTGTATTGAATGATTTTTAATGAATGCAATATTAATCCTTGCAGATGAGCAATAATCATTAAAGTCAATTAAAATGATAAGACCATATTGGTAGTCTGTGTCATCATTGGTTGAATAGCAAAACTTCATTAGAACCACTCTTCTAGAATGGGGCAAGTCACTGTTCAGCAGTATTTAATAGATTTATTGAATACCAAATGTAGAGAGACTGAATGCAGCATTGTTCATTAAATTTTTTTTAAGACAGTCTAACTCAGTTGTCCAGGCTGTCATTGATCTCCTGGGCTCAAGGAGTCCTCCTACATCAGCCTCCCCAATAGCTGGAATACAGGGGTGCACCACTGCACCTGGCCATCAGTACCCTAAGTTGCTATAAATTGGATGGGAAATGTCCCCTAACGGTCTGTGTGTTAAAGGCTTGGTCCCCAAGGTGACACTATTGGGAGGTGTGCTCGAACCTTTAGGAGATAAGGCTAGCAAGAGGTGCTTAGGTCCCTGGAAGCGTGGCCTTGAAGGGAACTGTGGGATCTTGGTCTCTTCTTTCTCTTTTTGCTTCTTTGCTGTTGAGCAGTTTTGTACTCTACCACTTCGCTCCCATCATGGTATCTTTTTTTTGGTACCGGGGATTGAACTCTGGTCCTTGCGCTTGCAAGGCAGGCCACCGAACTGCTGAGCTAAATCCCCGGCCCCCATCATGGTATCTTTTTTTTGGTACCGGGGATTGAACTCTGGTCCTTGCGCTTGCAAGGCAGGCCACCGAACTGCTGAGCTAAATCCCCGGCCCCCATCATGGTATCTTGATGTACTGCCTCAACATAGGCCCAAAGCAATTGGGCCAATTGATCATGGACTGAAACCTCCCTCTAAAACTGGAAGCTAAAGAAAAACCCTCTACTTTTGGTTTGGTTGGGTGTATGTGTGTGTGTGTGGCAGGGGATTGTAGGTGTTTTGTTTTGTTTTGTTTTAAATAGGACCTTGCTAAGTAGTCCAGGTTGGCCTAGAACTCACTCTGAACTTGGTATGTATGTTGCCCAAGCTGGCCTCATTCACCATCCTCCTGCCTCTGCCTCCCAAGTGCTAGGATTACAGGCCTCTGCCACCACACTCAGTGTAAACCTAATCTTTTCTTTATAAATTCGTCTTAATTAATCTTTCCTTATAATGGCAGAAAGCTGATGAATATGTTTTGTATGCCTACTCTGTACCAAGCCTCAGGTCTTAAGCATTTCATTATCCCACACCACCACCAGAGATCAAACCCAGGACCTTGTGCTTGCCAGGCACGGCGCCTCTGAGCTATATCCCCAGCCCTGTATTTCACTTTTTAAAGAGGCAGCCCTGATGTAAAAGCTTTGAGGTTCTTATTTGCATAGTTGTCTTCTAAGACCTCATACCTGAATCCTTTCCTTAAAGAATGCCCCAAATTTTAAGCTTCAGCCTCCTCCCAGACCTGTTTCAATCTCTAAAGGTGCATTGATGCTTTCTGATGTAACGGTACAAAATATCTGAGACTGGATATTCTACAAAGAAAATTTATTTTCTCACTGTTCTAGCGGTGGGGATTTCCAAAATTAAGGCACCAGCAGATTTGGTGTCTGAAGCAGGCTGCTCACTGCTTCCAAGATGCTACCTTTTGAACAAGGACTGGCAAGTTCCCCCCAGCGTTTTTTTTTTTTTTTTCATCCCGTTTGTGGAGATCCTGCCCTTATGATTTAATCACTTCCTAAGGGCTCCACCTCTTAAAACTATAACATTGGTGATTAAATTTCAACTGATGTATTTGGAGAAACATTCAAACCACAGCATTCTACCTATACCTCCATATTTCATACAAAAATTCATTATATCATAATAATCTGGAAAGTTAATTCAATCCAGCACCAGTTTAGAAATCCAAAGTCCAGGGTCTCAGCTAAATTAGATGGTGAGTAATATTCAAGGTATAGTTCATCCTGACTCAAAGTGCTCTCTGGCTGTGAACTTGACATCAAATAAATTCTGTACTTCCAAAATATGATGGGGTAGGCATAGGATGGACCTTACTCAGAAGGGCCGGGAACGCCTGTAATCCCAGCACTTAAGAGGCTGAGGTAGGAGGATCACTGTGATTTCAAGACCAGCCTGGGCTACATAGTCCCAGGTCAGTCTTAACTACATAGTGAGACCCTGTCTCAAAAAAAACAAAATAAAAGGTGTGGCAGTGTGGTAGAGCCGCAGTGCTCCCTGGCAGGGATACTGAACAAACCTGTTACATAACTTACACATTCGGGAAATTGTTATAGGTATTCCGAAATTTTCAAAGGAAGGTAAAGCAAGAATTGACATCAGCACTTCCTTGCTAACTGGTTGTGCAACCGTAGGTAGGAGCAGCAATCTGCAAATGATAGCCCTTCCGTAAGCCAGGTCTGGCCCAATGCCTGTTTCTTCTGTATGGCTCCCAAGCTGAGAGTGGTTATTATATTTTTAAATGGCTGAGAAAAAAATCATGACTAATTAGTGACACATGAAAATAATATGTACAAATTTCAGTGTTCATAAATGGAAGTTTTCTACACAATATGTTTTTTTGCTTGTAGAGTGTGTAGGGCTACTTTCCTGCAACGATGACAAGAGTTGGAACCAATATTAACTGTCCCTTCACAGAAAAAAGATTGCTGACCCAGGCACAAAAGTTATGTTAGGCATTAAGGAAAAGATGTATTGGAAGGCATTTGATTTGTATTTTATTAGATAGGAGTCTCTGGGTGAAAACAATGACGTGATTAAGAAGGAAAGAACAGGGCTAGGGATTTAACTCAGTGGTTCCACCACCTGAGTGCAAAGACCTGAGTTCAATCCCCAGTACCAAAAAAAAAGAAAAAGAAAAGAACGTAATTTAGATCTTAAATGTCCACCAAAAGCTGAGGTATTGAAAGCTTGGTCCCTAGCTGATGCACTGTTGGGAGGTGGTGCCAATTTGAGGAAGTGGGGCCTCGCTAGATGGAGTTGGGTGTTGGGAGCATGTCCTTGAAGGGTACACTGAAACCTCAGCCCCCTTTTCTCTTTGCTTCCTGAGCACCGTGAGGTGAGCAGCATTCTCTGCCACATACTCCGCCATCATGAAATACTCCTGCCTCAATGCAGGGCCAAAATCAAGCCAAATGACTACAGACTGAAACCAGGAGCTGAAATAGACCTTTCCTCCTTTTAAGTTACTACACATATTTTGTCACTATGACAGAAAGCTAACAGTACTGACCAAAGAATATTCCAGTCTAGGTAACATGTAATTTTACCTGTATCTTGGCCAGGATTCCCTCTTAGATTAGGCGATCTCAAAGAGCAACATAAACATCACTTGGTGTTTTAGTCACTTTCCTCGTGGCCAAGAGAACTCGCTGCAATCCACCTGCCTCAGCCTCTCAAGTGCTGGGATTACAGGTGTGTGCCACCACGAGAGATACATTTCGGTCTGCAGTTTCAGTGAGTTCATTCCAGGGTCGGCCAGCTCCAAGGCAGAAACTGCCTAGTGGAAAGGCCTAATGCAGAGGAAAGCGAAGGGGAGGAGCAAGGGAGAGAGTAGCCTTCCAGGTCACACCACTCAGTGGCCCCCTCTTCCAGCCACTCCTCATTTTCTAACAGCAAGTCAGCTATGGCAACCCCGTAATCCAGTCACCTTCCATACAGGCTTTGGGAGCCATTTCAGATCTAAACCACAGCACTTGGGAAGTGTTTAGAAGGTGTCAGAGTAATTAAACCTGCAATTTTAAGTTGCAGTCAGTTTTACACACACAGTATTAGAAATTTACATAAAGTATTGGAAACATTCACACAATAGTGCATTTTTTTGTTTTATTTCTTTTTGTTTATCAGACAATTGAATTACTCCAAGAAGGAAGTTGAATTTATTAAATATATGTGCCTTTGAAAATATTTATACAGAGATTTATACATAGGAATTTATACATAGATATATATGTACAATAAGATCTATGTAAGCAGAACTCTAAAAAGCTTGTGATGTTTTGTTACTTTAATAAATTGATCATTTTTTATATTTATTTATGTATTTATTGGAACCAGGGATTGAACTCAGGACCTTGCACTTGCCAGGCAAGTGCTGTACCGCTGAGCTATATCCCTGGCACCGATCGTTGATTTTTTAAAGTGGGCAGCCTTGAGCACATATTTAAGTGTCCTAAAAAGAATTGCTCTGCATTGTGGGCTGCTTACCTCTTTCCCAGATCCAGTCTCTTCTTCCTCATCTGCGGTATAGTTCTCCACTATTACCACAAGAGGGCAACTTTTCTCATGGCTGGTGCTGGGCCAAGAAGGGATAAAACACAGATTACACTCTTCTCTGAAACCCTGTGCTTTGTGCTTGAGCATTTTCCAAATGTTTAGGAAATGTACATTTTCACAGAATAGTATGTACTACTTGTGGGTGAGGGAGCAGCATTCTGTACATAATTAAACATGTTGATAGTTCTGCAATTGAATTTACAATATACACAGACAAAGGGACAGAGGGGGCTGGGGATGTAGCTCAGCAGCACAGCACCTGACTGGCAAGCACAAGGTCCTGAGTTTGATCCCTGGTACAAAAAAAAAAAAAAAGATTATCAATATCTCCCATCAGTTCTCATAATTCATTGATGTGCCAAGCTGGGAAAAATGGTTTTTAAAATTTGTTTTTAATTTTTCAGATATGGATAGAGAATTGTAGCTCTGGGGGCTGGGGATTTAGCTCAGTGGTTCTGCCGCCTGCCTCACAAGCACAAGGACCTACGTTCAATCCCCGGTTCAAAAAAAAAAAAAAATTGTAGCTCTGTAATAATATCAGTAACATGTATTCAGTGTTTGCTGTGTATCTGGCTCCATGCTAACTACTTAAGAAAACTTAATCCTCACACTAACCTGTGATAGGTACTACATTCCCCTAAAAATAACACTAACTAGAAACCAAAAGTACCAGCCCTGTGTTAGGTTAAAAAGCCGAAAACCAAGACCAAACCAGAACCACTACAAGCCTTTATTGTAGGGACAATAGGCTAGGCTGTCTCCAATCAAAGGAGAGCGAGCAATATGGCAGAATAGAGAGCTTCTTTACTGGGGTGGGGCTTATAGGAGCTGGGATGGAGTTAAGTGAGGTAGTAAGGGATTGGAGGAGCCTGTGACATCATTGGGAGGGGCTTGTGACATCGCTGGTTTCTCAGATATAGCAAGTATCTGGTTACTTTTTGGTAGAAGAACAGGCATCGTGGGACGAAGGCTGTCTTTTGGTAGGTGGGAAAAGCCATCTTTTTAGGTGAGAGGCAGGGCATTATGGTAAGGGGAGTAACAGCCATCTTAAGGTGAGGGAACTCTAACATCCTGGGCCAGGGATTTAGCTCAGTGGAGCTGCCTCCTGCTTCGAAAGCTGAGGGTCCCAAGTTTTATCCCCTTGTACCCCCCAAAAAAATAAGTAAAGGATGGAGGAGGGGGTGAAGGGAGGGCAGGGGTAAGGGGAAAAAATGAGAATCAAGACTTGCCTTGTAGAGGTACAAGATCCCAACAATGAATGTAACCGTACTGTATCCCTAAAATGTACCAATAAACTCAATTAAAGCTGAAAAAAAAAAGTAAAGGAAATATTTTTTTAAATGCCAGCCCCAATCAGCTATTCTTGCCTTCCTAGCCATTACAAGTAGCCAACAAGAGAATAGTGAGGTATAATCTTCAGCAGACACTGGCCATCACCATGGTGACAACCAGTTACTAATTACAGCTGAAGTTTATTTTCCAGTAGGGCTTATTTTCAGGGAAACACGGTACAGTATTACCCTAGTAAATAGATGAAATTGAAACAGGAAAGGGAATTTACCCAAGTCTGACTGCAGGGTCCATGCTTGATACTCAACAATATGTCTTCTAGGCAACAGCCCAAAACCAGGGTTCTAGTGATGCCAAAAGTAATAAGCTCATGTGGGGCTTGTTAAAAATACAGGTTTCGAAAAGATAAAAGGACTGGGATGTAGCACAGTAGGAGAATGCTTGCTTAACATGTGCGAGATCTTGCATTCAAACCCTAACACCCCAAAAGAAAGAAAGTAAAATTCCTGGAGCCTGTCCCAGACCTACTGAAACAAAATCTCAGAGACATGATCAAACAAAGACTTAGGGGGTCCAAATCTCTCCAAAGCAGCAATGCACTAGGTAAAGGAGCTAAGATCTGACCTAAGTCTTTCTGGCTTCCATGGCCATTCTCCTGAGTCACCTTGAGTCTCCTCGATTTTAGGCTTTCAGGCACCTACCCCATGATTCTCATTTCTCAGCAAAGATTCTCTCAGCAGAAAAACTTGATATGGGCACAAAGACCCAAACCACGAGTGCCATGCCTTTCTGATGCCTCCTGAACACAAACTCAACCTGAAACCTGCTGTCACCTGTTTTGGAAGGAATTGGCAATTGACAGACACATAGAGACGAGATGAATGTAAGTAAAATAAAAAGTTTATTTTACCAGCAAAGGTCGAATCACACTCAAAAGGGCAGCGCCAGTGATCAACCTCCTATGGAATTGCAGCTTTCTCTTTTACAAGCTTTACAGCTATGATCTCATTCAGGTGGTTACATTTCATTTCCTCAGTTCACATTACCCATGTACAAATTACAGTAGCAAGACAGTTAGCTTTAACCCAGACATAACAATTCCTTGTAGATAGAGAGTTTGCCTTAAGATTCCTCTAGCTGTCTATTCTAGTGCACAGGAAGCGGGTGTTCAAGGTCAGGGATGGAGGCCAAGATGTCCCACTTCATGGTCAATGCCTCTGGTGTCTGTTAATTTTGCACTAAACAAAGCAGATTGCTGTTAGAGACACCAGAAGTCATTTTACATTTTCCGTAACATTTTGTAGGGGTTTTTGTTGTTGTTGTTGTTGTTTTGTTTTGGTACCGGGGATTGAACTCGGGTCTTTGCACTTGTGAGGCAGGCAGCGGCACCACAGAGCTAAATCCCCGGCCCTAGGTTTTTAGATTATTTATAAACGTTCTCTGTATGGTCTCCCACTGTGTCAGGGGAACACACTGCTTCCTCAAGCCACAGCCAGAGAGTTCAAAGATAGCCACGCTTAGGGCTGGGGTGCAGTTCAGCGGTAGAGTACGTGGCTACCGTGAATGAGGCAGTGGGTTGACTTCCCATTACTGCCAAAAAGAAAAAAAAAAAAAGATACCCACACACGGGGCCCTAAAGACTCACTGAGAAACAGCTAGGCCCAGGTGCCTTTTGATCGGGTTTAAATCACAAAAGTTCTCACACAGATCATCACTTCCAGTAAATGAAAACTAAACAAAGGGCCCATCTCTTTACTGATTCTCTTGCTCTTATATTTCTAGCTGGACAGATTATTGCTGAAGGATTACCTAAGGGGGTTCTTGAGGAGCTAGGGACTTGGATGGAGAGCATGCCGCCTCAACTGAGCCAGCCTTCCCAGACACTATGCCTACTGCTTGCTTTCATGCAAAATAGCCAAAGAATTGCCAGTGTGGGCAAATCTTAAATGATCATTTCTGCTCCAGATTCCACTGCAACTGTCACAGTTCAATACTTCCCCCAGCTCCAATCTTGTTTGTCTCACCTCCCTGTCGGTGTTATTACCAGGGACAACCCTCAACACAACCATTACACACCTCTGAGCCTGATGTCTAGGAGACCCGGCCTAATACACTAAGTGAATGTGAGCAGATACTTTAACTCTCTGGGTCTTGGTTTCTTCATCTGCATATGACAGAAATGCCATGGCATAGTTGTGAAGTTAGGTCCTGCCATACCGTAAGCACTTAATTAATATTTGCCGTTATTATTCTTACTAACTACAGACAGAGCAGTGCAAGGCTCCCCAAACACCTAGTTTCCCCAAAGACAAAGTTTTTGTGGGGGTTTCATTATGTAGTCAGGATTGTTCAAATCACACCCGCTTGTGATCAATTCAACCTTTAATTTAGTCCCTCTTCTTTACCTTGAGGTTGGGGTGTGAGACTGAAATCCCACCCCTCTAATCCTCAGATTCCTAGTGACCAATCCCCATCAAGAAGCTACCTAGGGGTGGTTAGCCATTAGTCAACTTGTTATTATATAAAAAGAGATCCTCCTTTGGCGATTTCAAGGCTTTTGGAAGCTCTGTGGCAGGAAACAGGATGAAGACTAAATTCATATTTCAGAATATCACAGAGACATTTAACAACTGGCTTAAAAGCTCATTCTGGCTGCTGGAAGATCCATTATAGTGGTCCAGTCAGGGCAAGAAACACTGGAATGGTAATCCCCATGAAGAGGTCATCTCTGGGATATGTTTTGGCGGGACAGTCATATGTAGATGTGACAGGTGAAGAAGAGGGGAATTAAGGATGCTGCCTAGGTTTGGGCTTGAGAAAAATAGGTGTTTGGTAATACAATTTGTTGAAGTAAGAAAAAGCAGGTTTGGAACAACAGAGAAAATCCAGAGTTAGCAATATGCTAAATTTGAAATGCCCATTAGATATACAAGGGAGAAGTCAAACCAGCCATTGGATGAATGCCTGAACCCTTTTTTTAAAAAATTAATTTGGTTTTTTGAGATAAGATCTCACTACTGGTGTTGAACTTGCTACTATATAGTCCAGGCTGGTCTCAAACTAGAGATCTTCTTGCCTCAGCCTCCTAAATGCTGCGATTATGCACCACCACAACTAGCTCCGTGTCTTCTTTTGACTTCTTCACAGTGCATGTAAGAGATCTGGGAGGTTATAAATTAATGTGACCTGAGAGAGAGTTAAACTGATCTCTTGGGAAGACAAAATTAACTACTACTTATTTGCCTTTGTAGACAACTAACTAAATCATCATCGACCTTTAATTTGTCTCCTAACTACTAATGGAGAGAACTCCATGTTCCACCACAGGTACAGTATAAGATCAGATTCGTAGATGCTCTGTGGGTCATGACTTTAACCAGGCATATCAATGACTATCAAGGTCTTAGCCAGGGCTAAGATAGAAACTGCCAAAAGCAGGCTCACTCTGTCTTCCAGCATGCACTTAGGCATCAGCAGCTATAAAGCACGTTGTACAGTACCTGGCACCCTGTGGGCACACAATCCAGGCCAGTTTCCTTCCACAGAGCCTTCCTGGAGCAACCACCATGTTCTTCAAGCCCTTGCAATGCTGTAGCAGCTCAAATATGAAATGTTGCTTCCTCCCATCTCTTGAAACACGACTGCTCATGACGGAGGAAGGACTTCTCACTTTAGCTTTCCCCTCTTAATAACAGTAATAATTCTCCTTTAAAAAAAAAAAAGCAATGCTTTATACTTTTCAAAATGATCTCACTTAAATTATTTCATGGGATCAACAGCTTCAAAAGACAAGCAGGATTATCCTCATTTTACAGATGAGAAGTGAAGAAAAAAAAAAAGAAAAGAAAAGAAAAATAAGGAAATTCTTAAAGAAACTTCTGCAACTTCCACTCTGCCGGGATGTGTAAAATTTCCCTTGCAAATTGTGGAAGTGACCTCTCCGGCTGTACTTTAGGTTCTTCACCTTTGGTGTTCTATTATTCTGCCTTTTGTTGCTAATAGCAACATACTCCTGGATAAGTTAAAAAAGAAGAGATTTATTTTGGCTCACGATTTAAGCCTGAGGACAAGGGACTGCATGTGGTCATGGCCTTCTCGCGGGCAGAGTCCTGAGGTGGTGCAGGGCATCACATGGTAAGAGACAAGGAGCCAGTGTGTGTGTACCCTACTCTCTGTCATTCTTCTTACAAAGCGGCAGTATTCAGTCATGGGGGCTCCACTTTGCAGACCTTTGTAAATCCCAGTCATCTCCCAAAGGCCTCACCCCTAATATCATAGCCCATTAAATTCCCACCCTTCTTAATACCTCACAGTGGGGACTAAAATCCAATGTACATTTTGGAGGAAAGGAACCATATTCAAACCAACATTCCACATAAAGCACAGTGCAGCCAGGGTAAAGTAAGGACTCTCTCATACTATGGTACCAATATAAGTATTGTAACTCTCTTATTTAGAATTCCTGAGCTAATCACAGCTTGGTAACTTTGCACTTCATTTGGGAGAGATGTCTATACAAACTCAGGTGATTCTTTTTTATAAATTTTATTTTTATTAGTAAATGTTTCCAGTACATAATGATTACAATCACTGTGGAAATTCTGTACATACACAAAACACATTTCAATTATTTTTATGTCCCCTCTTCCTCCCCTCCTTCCTCTTTCTGTCCATCTCTTGGTCTCCATCCCATTTGCAAAAGATCTATGTTCCTGTTTATTATCTCTTTTATTTTGCTCTTTGATGTATTTATACTTCATGTCTTATAAAAAAAGCTTTGTTATTTCTCTACACTGAGTTTGTACACGTAAGAAAAACTGGAAACAACCCCCATATCCATCAACAGATAACTGGACAATAAAATATGATTTATGAGCTATTGATATCATGGTACAGAATAGATTGATTTCAAAATAATTATGTTGAGTGAAAGAAGTCAGAAAAAATAACATACTGTGTGATTGTGTATATGTAGTATTGTAGAAAATGCAAACTAAAGTGTAGAGATGGAAAGCTGGTCAGTGGTTAGTGGAGAAGGGGAGAGCAGCACTAGGATGGGTCAAAGGATGACAAGGGGCCCAAGGAAATTTCTAGGGCAATGGATACATTTATTACTTAATTTTGGTGATGACTCTGTGGGTTTTGCAAGTGTCAGCATAAACTATTGTGTACTTTGAGCATGTGCACTTTATTGTATATAAATTATATCTCAATAAAAGTAGTACACTCATTATGGATTTTTTATTTTGAGACAGTGTCTCACTATGTCATTCAGGCTCACTTTGAACTAACTATGTAGTCCAAGCTGGCCTCAAATTCCAAGCTATTCTTTTGCCTCAGCCTCCCATGTGCTGTGATTACAGACATGTGCTACCATGCCCACTTTGTTATGGGTATTTTGAAAACACAGAAAAATATAAAGAAGGAAATGAAAACAAACTATGTTTCCACACTCCAGAAATAAAGCCAAGATTTAACATATTTCCTTCCAGTTTCATTTCTACACACATAAGCCCATCAAAAGTTGAAAATATTGGGAGTCAAAAATGCATTTAAGGCTGAGTGTGGTGATACATGCCTATACCCCAGCTACTTGGAAGGCTGAGGCAGGAGGATCACAAGTTTGAGGCCAGACCCTGTCTAAAAATTTAAAAAAAGGGGCTGAAAATGTAGCTCAGAAATAGAACACTTGCCTAGCATGCATGAGGCCCTGGGTTCAGTGCTGAAAAAAGAAAAAAAAAAAATACTGAATGCACCTAACCTACCAAACATCATAGCTTAGCAACAAGTACACTGTTGGGGGATGGATTCAGCTCAGTGCTTCCGCCGCCTGCTTGGCAAGCACAAGGACCTGAGTTCGATCCCCAGTACCAAAAAAAAAAA